TGATGTTTTCTTCAGGTTGACCCTCAACTTCCTACTCCTTACACAGGCACACAGATATAGACACACACACACACACACACACACACACACACACACACACACCCATAGGCATAAACCTCATCAGTATTTTCATCAAGTCCCACTCAGAAGGTCTGAAGTGTGACCTTTAATTACCATTAATTACATTTCTTTCAGTTCAACAAATATCTGTTAAGCAGCTCAACCCATTTCAATTCAAATATTTATTAAGACATGTGGTTCACTTCTCATCACTCTACTGAAACTTACCCTATCCTTATCCTCTGTGATTGCTATGTAGCTTTTGACCCTTTGATCATTCCCCATCTTTAGGGACACCCCTTTTCCATCAGCTTCTGTGAAATAAACACTCTTGTTCTTATGCCTTTCTAGTTGTTCCATCTGTCTGCTGTGATGACTCCTCATCTTCAAATTCCTTAAATCAAGGCTGACTCCAAGTTCTGTCCTAGGCCCTCTAAGTTCTGTTCCTTGCTAGTTTTATCTACTCTCATGACTTTGATTTTCAACTTCATATAGAAGACTCCCAAACGGATATGGCCACCCCATCCTCTCCCCACAATTCCAGTCCCATATTTCCATCTGCCAGCTGGATATTCACACAAACACTGCTTCAAACTCAACATGTCCAAAATTAAATTTTCTGTTTTCTCCCCCAAACCTGTCCCTTCCCCATTATCTCTATTTCTGTTGGTGGCACCACCTTGTCAGTAAGGAGATTCAAAGACATCTTTCACATTTTCCACTCATCTGTCAATCTAGAACTTGAGACTCTGGAATCATAGAACCTGGGTTCTATTTCTGGTTCTGACACTTAATACTTGTGTGAACTTGGGCAAGACACCTAATCTCTTTGGGCCTTGGTTTCCTCATCTGTAAAATGGGGGGGTTGACCTACATGACATTTAAGGTCTCCTCCCCCAGCTCTAAATCTGACACAATGATTCTAAATCTATGCTCCTATCACCTAAATTGAGTCCTTTAAATACTCTTACCCGAAATGCCCAGATGGTGCCTAAACATCATAGATACAATTAATTCTCATTTGCCGGCATGAATAACGGGAAGCCATTAATGCAGAAAATTCAGTAGATAATCAAAAAAGTAATTTCTATTCAGCTTTGAAAATGCATCCTATAATTATTTTGTTACTAAGATTACCTTCCTCACTATATTGTCCATAAGATAACACAAAACTGGTTTGTTTCCCCTAAGTCATCCACTCACCATACAGTAATAATAATAATAAAAATAGCAGCTAACATTTACATTGTGCTTACTATGTACCAGACACTGTGCTAAGCATTACAATTATTATCTTATTTGATTCTCACAACAACCCTGAGAGGTAGGTACTATTATTATCCTCATTTTACATATGAAGACATTGAGGTAAAGAATGGTTAAGTGACTTGCTCAGGATCACAAAGCTAGTAAATATGAGGCCAGATTTGATCCAAGCCCAGCACTCTGTCCACTGTTTCACCAAGTTGCCCAGTTTTGTGTATATCTGTGCATGTATTTGTGTGTACATGTATAATGTATGTATGTATGTGCATGTGTATGCCTCTGTGTACACACACACACACACTGAAAAAGCCACAAATAGATTATTAGCAGCTTTATAACTGAGCTAACTTTAGCACAAGTTGAGCAGTGTAATTTCTGTAATTATATCTGTCATAGAGTCACATCTAATTTTAACATATGCATAGGAAACAAACGATGTGAGTGTTCTTTCCAGGTTATATATTGATCTACCTAGTCAAATGCTTTTTACATATCAATAAACAATAGAAACAATGGGATCTTACATCGTCTCTAACTTAGCTATTCATATGTCCATAAAGATGTGATCTGCTACAGAAAAATTCAAGAGAATGTTAGCTTCTCATGCTGTGATCAAGGAAATCTTCAAAGCATACAGAGCATTCTCAAAGGTTTTATAGATATGACAAAAGCAGCCCTGTAAGTAGGCATGGATGTCTTTTTCTTTTTGAGTAAAAGCATTATCTGTGATCCTTTCCCTTCATTTGGAATCTTCTCCGAGAGCAATTAAGCATCAATCCCTAAGTGCCTTTAAAATTCTGTCACTACCAGAAGAGACCCTATCCCACATGTTTTGGTAGGTCTAGCTGTTCTTCCCAATTTCTTCTTCTTAAATCAACCAATCAAATAAGTGAGCATTTATTACGGGCACACTCTGTGGCAAATATGGTGACACCAAGACTTCTCCATACTTAATTGGGCACTATGGCTGGTAGATTGGTAGACATTTTATATTTTACATCTGTTTGATATCACTTTCCTTACAATTACTCTCCAGATAATTTCACTAGCTTGGTTTTATACTAATCTCTTTTTGTTACTCAGTCATTTTTCAGTCATATCTAACTCTTTGTGACCCCATTTGGTGTTTTCTTAGCAGATACTGGAGAGATTTGCCACTTCCCTCTCTAACTCATTTTACAGATGAGCAAACCGAGGCAAATAGGGTTAAGTGATTTGCCCAGGGTCACACATCTAGGAAGTGTCTGAGGCCAGATTTCAACTCAGGAAGATGAGTCTTCTTGACTCCAGGCCTTACACTCTATCCACTGTGCCATCTTGATGCCCCATACTAATTTCTAGCCAGGTTCATAAGTGTTCAATAAGTGACATCAAGGATTGACATCAAACAAGGTAGAAACAGTAGACATATACCTAAGGTGTTCATCATGCTTGTACAAGCAGACTTACACAGACTTTCAAAGAAGATGCTCTACTAATTACAACATTCATCCAAAGTTCTCATACAAAAGTGCATCAAACCCTGAAACACTACAAAGCTTACTCAGTGAAGTGAAGCACATGATAATGGCAAAGGAATTAGTCTACCCGTTTACACTTAAAAACGGAGTGGTTCAGCAACAGCAGTATCGTACAATGATCAAATGTGAATGACTTGGCTACTCTCAGCAATACAATGATCCAAGACAACTCCAAAGGACTCATGATGAAAAATGCTAACCACTTCCAACGAAAGAACTGATGAGTCTGAATACAGATCAAAGCATGCTGTTTTTCACTTAAAAATTATTTTTTGTTTCCTTTTTTTGGTCTGTGTTTTCTTTCACAACATGACTAATATGGAAAATATTTTATATGATTGCACATTATAACCTATATCAAACTACTTACCATCTCAGGGAGGGGGAGAAAGAGAGGGAGGGAAAGAATTTAGAATTCAAAATTTTAAAAAGTGAATGTTAAAAATTGTCTTTACATGTAATTAGGGAAAAAAGAAAATATTATTTAAAAAAAAGAAGAGTGGTTAAAAAAGCCCAAGCCTGGCAAATAGTCTGTCCACTCAGTCTATCAATATATGTTTATGGACAGTAAGCTAGTCCCAGAATAGAACAGAAAGAATTTGCACTGGATTATAGCTGAGAATTTGTGTAGCGCTTTCAGTGATCCAAAACTGTCCCCAAAATTTATGCTTTCAACACTAATATTCTCCCAGTCATGTTGGGTAATGAAACTCTATGATCTCAGGAGAATCAAAAGTATGAATAACTTAGGGGGCAAGGGAAAGACATATGGTATAACAAAGGAGGCTGAATCACATTGCCAAGATGTACAAAAAGTGGTCTAAAAGACATTCCTAAGGACATGTAATAAGAAAAGGAGATCAGCTGGTCAGTGAGAACAAGGGATATCAGATGACTAGCTGAAATGGTACTCTGGCTCCCCTGAGATCTAGTGCTTTGTACATAGTAAGCACATAATCACTGCATACTGCAATTTTAAAAAAAATGAGAAAAGATTCTTTAACCCACCCATTGACCCTTCTATGGAAGATTTATGGAAAGATTTGGACAAGAACTGCATGGGATGAATAGGGATCAAGTGGGTTGCAATCTACCTTGGAGGAGCTGCCCACACCAACAAAATCAATCACAGTAGCAAAGCAGTGAAGGTTCTGCCAAAGTCTGCACAAGGAGAGGCAACGTTGCTTGGCACTTAAAACTCCATTTATAATCTAGGGTACGCTGCCTCAAAATTTCAATTGTAGAAAAATAGTCATTTTAAGCAAACCTGGCAAGTTAAGATTGGAACTCAAAAGATGGATAAATTATGGGGTGAATAGCCTCTTTTCAAACTATAGGGTTCTCTGAATTCTGAAGTGTCCTACTATTTTCAAAACTCAATTCAATTTACAAAAATTTGTTTTCTACACAACTTTTCAAAAGTACAAGAAGTGTTCATGTTTCACCATTCTAGATTTTCCCCATTGTTTATCCAGTTGTGCCAAAAACATGCTGACATTTAACATTCTGGAAGGTAATTTGTCAAATTATCAATATCTCCCATTTCATAAACAACCTAAGTACACTCCAGTAGTCCTCTAGCACATGGCTAAAATGAGTATTTTAACCTTACTGATGATGCCCATCTACCAAGGTAAGCTGCTTAACTAAAACTACATGGGGTTAAAATGCCTGATTCACCTCATCCTTCCAAAATCATAGAATTCTTAAGCTAACAGACCTCAGGCATAATCTAGACCAATGCAATCATTTCACAATAAAAAATACTAAGGCATACAGGGGTCGGATGACTTGGTGAGGGTCATATAGTTAGTGTCTGAGGCTGGATCTGAATCTAGGTCTTCCTGGTTCCAGGTCTAGTCCTCTATCCACTGTACCACCTAGCTGCCTCAGTATAACAATTTCATCTCATTTAATACATACTGGTGCTCAGGACTCATATAAGGGAGGCATATCTTTTATCGTAACTCAAAACAGAATCAAATTTTTTAGCATTATGAAGCAGAAAATTCTGTTGTCCAGAAAAACCTAGTTACATGTAGAAATCACTGTGAATCCCATTAGAACCAAATTCTTCATCCAAATTCTTGATCCTCTTTAAAAAATAAAAATTCCAAAAACACTTAGAACCATATAGAAATAGTTTTGACTCACTTGCTACTGGGCCGTTTCTGTAGGGCTTTGTCAAGGATGAGGGATGGAGCACTCCTTCTCCTCTCTGCTAGTGTTTTCATTTTCTGGAGAGAAACAAAAACAGTGAACACCACATAGATTGTAAACCAATAAGTAAATGTGCCTTTGCAATTCAATTAAGCACAATTTTTGTGACCCCTACTGTATGTTCATAGGGCAGCTAGGTGGCTAAGTGGATAGAGCACCAGGCCTGGAATTAGGAAGACTCATCTTCCTGAGTTCAAATCAAGCCTGAGGTGTGTGACCCTGGGCAAGTCACTTAACCTAGTTTGCCTCAATTTCCTCATCTGTAAAATGAGCTAGAGAAGGAAATGGCAAACTACTCCAGTAGCTTTGCCAAGAAAATGGGGTAACGAAGAGTTGGACACAAGTGAAAAACAAGTGAACAACAAATATGCTCATAACTAGACTAGAGGTTACAAGAGAGTAGAAGCCCTTTGAGAACCTACAATCTAATTTAAAAACCAAGCATGACCCCCAAGGACCAAGGAGGAAGTACACTTCCTGCCTCCTGACAGACAGGGGATGGACTCAGGGTGATAAATGAAACACAATTTTTTAAAACATGGCCAATGTGGAAATTTGTTTTAATTGACTATACATATTTGTTACAAGAATGTTGGATTTGCTTTTTTTTTTAATGGGAGAAAATAAATGATTTTTTAATTGAAGCCATATATACACATATACACACATATAGCTTATACTTTAGTTGAGACTTCAAAAAACTAACCATAAAAATCACAAAATATGTGGGGCCGGGGCTAAGGGTGGATGGGGAACATTGCCTGATAGTGGGAAAAGCACAAGATGTCAATTATTACAGCAAGTCAAAAGAACAGAGCTGGGTACTACTGTAGAGTGTATAGAGTAAAGGGGGAAAAGATAAAAAAAGACATCACAGGAGCTGAGAACCATGAGTAAAATGTGAAGGCTAGACTCTCACAATGCATTTTTGAACCTCTTTCAAAAATAAAAATAAAACTCTGGGTCACAAGAATCAAGAAGCCAAGTAAAGGGTATGGGCACCAGAAGTCAGATCCCAAGTAAAAAGCTGGACGATGACTAGGGGCCGCCAACGGCAAGCAAGATTCTGAGACTGTGTTAACCCTTTGTCTCAGCCCATAAAAGCTAAGCATCATGGGTACTCCAATTCTTGCTCCATTCCCTCATACCTTACTCTATCCAAGTGCTCCCATTTACTTCCACTTGCAGGACCCTATCCTAGCCACAATTAGGGAACTGGCTCTTACCCTAAAGATGAAGAAAAAAACAAAATCCAGTCCTTTGGCTAAGGCAATGGCTTAGCTGGGTACTAAGATCCTGCTTGCAGCGGATAACCAGCATATAGTAGATGCTTAATAATTTGCTTGCTGACGTAGTGATAGTTTGATTTCTGGCTGCCCGTAAACATTTCTCTGTCAGGGTTGACGGCTGCTACCTGGGTTCCTGATCCCTACTGCTCCAAAAAAATTTTTTTTTAAAGAGCAGCAATAATTATGTCAGAAAGTCCAATCTCCACACTTGTGCTCATAGTATCCCCTCCCTCACTTGTTCCCACACCCATCCCTCTCTTCTCCATTCAACCTATCTATATCAACTTTTCAGGACCCAGTTTGAGTCCTCCTAATTTCTTGTCCCTCTGATCAGTTGTATGGTTTATAGCTAGTACTACATAGGTCTGTTCCACTGATTTGGCACTCATCACACACTTTGTATTACAGTCAGTACCAGCAACAACTAACATTTATGTAACGCTTTAACAAAGTGCTTTTCTCATAATATCACCGTTAGGTAGTCAGTGCAAATGTTATTCTCATTTTATAGATGAAGAAACTCAAGCTTCTAGAGGTTAAATGACTTGTTGGAAATCCTCCTTTCTTCTGACCTGGATTCTGGATTTATTATTTATGCTTTGAGCCCTATCTCATCTAATTGTTCTTCTGATTTCAGATTTCCACCTATACTCTTAAACCATTTATCAACAGGCCCACATTTCTGAGCAGTATTCACTCCAAGGTCAATTGTATTTATGCTTGATTCAGCCCTTGCCCTCCACTTACACTTACACTCTAATTTGTCAAATGACTAACATATTTAAATACTTGAAATACTTAAACAATTTAAGATATGGAATATAGAATGTTTTTTGGGATAAATATATACATAATTTTATATATATATATATATATATATATATACATATATATATATATATATATATACATGTGATAAATATACAATCATATGGATACAATATATTATTTTCTTAGTCCTGTGATTTCTATGGTAATGAGGAGGTGTAAAGTGAGGAAACTTCGTTTACAGCAAATGCTCTTTGATTTGTTGTATTAAGAGAATTGCCTGGGGTCCTATAGGTTTAAATGATTTGCCCCAGTCACTCAGGCAGCATGACAGTGGAGAGTATTGAATCCAGTTCACCCCAACTCCAAGACTCTAGCCACTGTACTAGGCTGACTCCTGATAAGTCTAATAAAAAAAAGTAATTGGGGGCAGCTAGGTGGCATAGTGGATAGAATGCTAGGCTAGGAGTCAGAAAGACTTATCTTTCTGAGTTCAAATCTGGCCTCAGACACTTACCAGCTGTGTGACCCTAGTACAAGTAACTTAACCCTGTTTGCCTCAGTTTCCTGACCTGTAAATTGAGCTGGAGAAGGAAATGGAAAACCACTCCAGTGTCTTTTGCAAGAAAACTCCAAATGGAGTCATGAGAGTCAGACAAGACTAAGATAAGTGGGCTCAGATTCTTATAATCTAGCCAAATGCTCAGATTCTTTAAGAGTCTGGCTAATATGATGGATATTCTAATAAACCTTGTCTTTGGCTGAAAAAAAAAGACTAAAATAAGTGAATTCTATCTGGACAATTTACAACATTCAAAATGTAAAATATTCTTCCCATCTGTAAGTACCTCCAGGGGCCAAGTCTCAATAAGGTCTGGCATATCATGGAGTTCTCGGTAAACAGAAATGATATTAATTATTTCCAAAAAGATGCACAAAGTATAGGAAGTAGGGTACTAAGAGCATCTCCAAAACAACATTACTGAACCTTGTCTACAGCCAATGACAAACCAGGATTTTTTTGTTTGTGACAATCACTAGAAATATGATACATGGAAATAGGGGGAGATTACTGATTCCTAGGCTGACTTATGTAATACTGACTATAATAAAACATGTCAGGACAGGTTGAGGATATACTTTTATTGGCAGGCACTTGACAGAGGGGAAAGACTACAGTTAGATCTTAACCATCGTGTTTACTAAATAAACTGGTAGGGTAAGGGAGAACACTTGCTGATCCTTGGCTTTCTTTCTTGGTTCCATAGTTTAACATCACAATTGAATCTCACCACTGACAATTACTACACCTCAGAGGCTTTGGGTGAGTCAGTTTAATCTCCCTGGGCCTCAGTTTCCTCAGCTATAAAATGAGAGTTGGACTACATGGGCCACTGAGGGCTTCCAGCCAGAGGAATTCAAGAACAGGATTTGTAGCCTTTTTACGATAATATCCTGCTAAAAATCAATAAACACTAGAAAGATTCAGAATAGTATTAGAGAATGATAGCAGTAGGTACAAGAACTGTTAGGGCTTCTATTCCACTGTGAGTCTCCCAAGACCTAAAGACATTTTCATACTACAAAGAGGATTTTCCTTTAACGAACAAAAAATTCCACTTCTTTCTTTGTTGTTATTCAATCAGGTTTGAAAAAAAGTACCTCGCTGATATAAACGCTGATAATAACTGACATTTATATAGAGCTTTTGAGGTGAGCAAATACAGTGTCCCAAAAGTCTTAGTGCAGTTTTAGCTTTCACATTTAAAAAAAAACCTTTTCACTTAAAACCACACTAAGACTTTTGGGACATCTTGTATATTACCATATGCTGTTTTCACAACAACCCTCTAAGGTAGGTGCTATTATTATCCCCATTTATCAGAGGAGCAAACTGAGATTCAGAGAAGTGGCCCATATTGTCCAGGGATAGTAAGTAGAATCTGAGGCCAGATTCCAACCAAGAACTTTCTGACCCCAAATCCAGCTTGCTCTATCCGCTAGCTCCATGCTCCCTGTTATTTTTTAAAGTCACACATCCATCTGTGGCTAGAACATATAATTTAGTGGACAATAAACAAACTGTGCTTTCTTCCATTTTTAAAAGACATAAGCCTGTAAACTATGTGTAAAGACCCGTAAATAGTAAGCCACTGAACTCGTAAGAGAGTAATAGGATTCTTTTAAACCCTGACCCTAGGGGCAGCTAGATGGCACAGTGAATAGAGCACTGGCCCTGGAGTCAGGAGGACCTGAGTTCAAATGTGACCTCAGACACATAACACTCACCGGGGGCAAATCACTTAATCTCAACTGCCTCACTAAAAAAAAAAAAAAAATTAAACCCTGCACCCTGATTCTAGCTTAATTATCTCAACAAGGTTTTGACTCCTGGCTAAACTGACACTTCAGATACTGGGTAGATTGGTGAGTGATTAGTAGTGGGTAGCTTCTTTTTAATAATGATCATGTCCTACCCAGGGCTAGTTAGCCAATCCAGGTCAATCAAATGCTGTCTGTATACAGTAAAGACCAGGGCACAGAGTATATGTTCCCTTCTGAGATTAAAATACCCCCAAAGCATGACTCTTTACCAATGCCCTCTTTCCATGGGATAATGGGGAGATCATCTTGGAATATCATCTTTTTTTCTTCTGCATAAGGTACTGTCAAGGGTGCCAAACCATACTATTACTATATATTATATAAACCAGTACTAAATTAGACTATACATGACCAACATGGGAAGGTGCTTCCTTCTCCCCTTCTCCTTTAAAAGGCTTCATAAAGATTATGCCTCATAACTGACTTTCCTTGAATGTGAGAGGAAAAGATTGTAGGTAAGCAATTATAAATCTTACATGGAATTGTGAAAATGCATATGCTTCCTGTCACATATTAACAAGGTTGAAGTCAACAAGCATTTATATGTGCTTGTACCTACTGTGAGTACAGTATTC